CTGGGGATCAAATGTGGATCATCAGACTCTTCAGCAAGTCCCTTTACTCACTGAGTCATCTCACTGGTCCCCCCAAGGGATTTATTTCTAGAGTATGTATTAGTAGTGGTATCTGCCCAGAAGAAACTTTGTGGTCAACATATTTTAGGTGAAAAAATTCAGTTTGTTACAAATCTTACAACAAGTAGAAATGATACAATAGAAATTAAATCTCCTTTAGTGACAGGGTTCTGCCAGAGGCACATGTGTACACTTCATTTACAGAGAACACACATGTAAATATGCTTCGGGGAGGAAAATATAAAAATCTTATCATAAAAGCTACTCAATAAATCCTACATATACATGGTTTACACTTAAAAGGAGACTTCTGTAGTGCTGTATCAAGTACTGCACATGAAATAGCCCTGGACCTCTGGTGGCATCTGACAGGCCTTTAATACCATGGATGGATCAAAGCTCCTTCGGGCCAAAGAAAACACTCCCCCTCCCACCCCACCGTAAGCCACTCCAAGGAGGTGACAGACAGCGTTGCAGGCCTGGGGACAACAGTGACGGGGTGGATTCTGCTAGTCAGGATAAGAGCACACAGAGCTCCCACGGGGACTTAGAGAGTTTCGCCCTATTGGCCCAAAGTCTAGATGATGTTTATTTGGTTTTCTAATGGAAAACCAAATACTGAATACATAGAGAATGGGTCCTCACAGAGATTGTGCTCTACTGTTTAAACTTCCAAAGTCTGAGAGCTGGATAAGCCTCTTTTCTCTCTTAGTTTACCAACCTCAGGTGCTTTGTTTTGGCACTGGAAAAGGGAAATAACACAATTTGCCTGGACATTCTCTTGTGTTTTCTGTGTAAATAATGAGATTATTTGTAAGGGATGGCAGGCCTGCTTCTTCTGTTCTAATCTGCAAGTTTTCAGTATCAAATGGAGTCCATTGTACCCAGCCCCAACAACAAGAAAAGTATGAAGCCACAGGAGGCCACGGAGGATGAAGCTCATGTACATACCATGACAAGAGCCACAGGAGGCCATGGAAGACGGATTTCATGTACAGATGATGACAAGAGGCACAGGGGTCACAGAGAATGGTCTCATGCATGTGTGTCTGACATAAACCATTCCAAGCCGGGCAGAACCACAGCACTCTGCCTCACACTGGACGTACTTCATAAGGATGGCTGCTAGCAGCTGCCTTTCCAACCTTTAACCTCACCACCTTGTCACTGACCCTCACAGCCAATAAAGCAGTCAGGTATAATTGCTTCTAAACAACTTACACAACTTTCCCCAGCCTCAATTGCCCTGAACACGCCCAGGCTCCCACTGAACAGTATAGTTCCTCATAAACTCATTTTTTGTCTATAGAATTGGTTTGCTGTTTCAGGCTGACAACACATGCCCATGCCATGTCTATGCATGCAAATATGCACACAAACACACATACAAGATCACCTGTCATTGATGGGTAGGACGCATTCTGGGAAATGCACCACTGGGCAGTTCTGGCACAGGGTACATCTGAGTGCCCTTCTGTGATCCAGGACTGTATAGCTCATCTGCCCAATGTAGGCTCTTAACTGTCAAGAGCTGTACAGGCTGCTGCCAGGACATGTGGAACAAGGCACAGCACTGTACCATAGAGTCTTTTCATTCAATAGAAGCTCTCAGAAATAATGATGAAGAGTACAGTATGACAATCACACTGTCCAGTCGTGTGGTCATGTGTCTTCACAGCGTGAGTATTTATGGAACTGGCCACACAGTGGGTTTGTTTACTCTGGTATCCCCATGGACACATGAGATATGCCATGCAGTGGTGTGATGGCGGCCTCAACGTCAGCACCCCTTCACACGGGGCTACCTGTAGGAAACCAGGATGCCAGGCCCTAGGGTGAGGTGAGCCTAAAACTTATAGGTCCAGGCTGCATTCTCTGCTAAAGGGAGGGGCACTGAAAACAGTGGCTCTGATAATCCCTGTCCTTCAGAACACTGTTAGGCTGGCAGGAGGAAGCAGCCAGGTCATAAAAGTGCAGGCTCCCTGCTCTGTGGGAAAGCATCTTGGTCAACAACCCTTAGCTCATCTCCTTAGTGTCTTGGTCAGCAACCCTTAGCTCATCTCCTTGTCCTAAACAAATAACTCAGCTATCCCTGGCTAAGAGATTAGGCCAGTTTAAAGGTTTACTCCTGGGCTAAAAGCTAAAAGTTCACCATGATTTTAGCTTTAAGAAAGAAAATATTGTGGCTAAAAAAGTACTGGATAGGCATTGATAACCTTGAGTAAAAGGTTAAGAATCCTTTTGGTGCCAACTAACAGACTAAATGTCCTGTTTCTTTGTACCCTAAATCTTTGTATGTGACTGCCATATCCCACGTGACTGCTAGCTCCTTGGGATGCATAAAAGCATCTGAATTCTAAAATAAATCATCCTGTTGGGAAGACACAGGTCCCAGAGTTTGACTCTGTTGCCAATCAGACCCTCTGCCCTGAAGCCAGCTGGTCCCCTGCTAAGCAAAGCAAACCTGAGTCCCGACAGCTACCAAAACTTCACATGGGGCTACTGGAGCACCCTTCTACGGCACTGAATTCCCGTATTTCAGTCTGAAAACCTACTTGTGTGTGTGTGTGTGTGTGTGTGTGTGCATGTGTGTGCATATGTGTGGAGGCCAGAGGTTGACATGATGAGTTCTCTTCTATTACTTTATATTATTTAATTTTTTTTGTGCCAGGGTTTCCCTGTAGCCCCAGTTGGCCTAGAACTCACTATGTAGACCAGGCTGGCCTCCATCTCACAGAAATCCACTTGTCTCTGCCTTTTGAGTGCTCTCTATTTTTTTTTTAATTTTTAATTTTTGGTCTTTTTGAGACAGGGTCTCCCAGTGGCCACAGCCAGCCTGGATTTGCTATGGAGACCAGGCTGGCCTCCATCTCACAGAGATCTGCCTGCCTCTGCCACTTTATTTTTTGACAGGGTTTCTCACTGAACTTGGAACTCAACCATTTGTCTAGGCTGGCCAGTGAGCTCCAAGGACACACTGTTTTTGACCTCTCAGTCCTAGGATTGCATACACACAGCACCTGGATTTTTACGTGAGGGTTAGGGATATGAACTCAGGTCCTCATGCTTCCATAGTAAGCACTTTACCAACTGAGTATCTCCCGGTCCAGAAACCCTATTTTAGCTGGAGCCTTTCTTCACATGTGTTTCTTGTGAGTCCCATGACATATACACTCATTTCCAGCACTCTGTGCTGTGCTTTTGAGTGAAAGCTACTCTCTCTCTCTCTCTCTCTCTCTCTCTCTCTCTCTCTCTCTCTGTTTTTTTCTGCTGTGTTCTCAGAGACTTTGAAGACCCTGACTGGCCCAGTCTCCTGTTAGTACCCGATACACCTCACACACTGTGCCACCACACACACGTCCCTTTCCTGATACCACTGTTTCCAATTGGTGATTTCATTTCATCTCATTTTAGCCTCACAAAACCTTTCTCTTCTATAATCTCGCTTTGCTAGCTACGGTCACACACTTAGATTTTCTTTGCTCATTATTACTTCTGTAACCTGGATCTTCCCATGGCCTGTGCTAAATACTCTCACATTAACCTGAATTAACCTGAGCGAGGCTCCATGGTGACAAACCCATTTTTCTGAAAGCATCTTTAACTTGTGTTCTTTGTTTAACTCTCATTATTGAAAGATATTTTCACCGGGTATCTGCTGGGGTTTGGTAATGGCTTGCCCCTAAGGGCCCATATGATGGATGTCTGGTCCCCAGTGAGGTAGTGGGACGAAGTGGTAGGTCCTCAGGCACCACTCTCTGATGGGATCAGTGCAATTCCCATGATGGGAGTTGTTATAAAGAATAATCATGGCCCTGGATTCCTTTACCTCCTGCCTCACCATGATCTCCCCATGGGCTCCACCACTGTGAGGCCATTGCCCTGAGCCCTCACCAGAGGCCAAACTGATGGGGCTGTAAAACTGTCAGCTGAATAAACTTCTATTCTTTAAAAGCTACCCAGCTTCTGGAATTGTGTTATAGCAACAGGAAATAGCACTTTCCATTCCTGGGATGACCCCTTTCCCTCAGTAATATGAATAAACTTTTGTCTTCTCCCATTTGAACTTCTGAGAAGCAGCACAAGTTGAACTGTATTCCTAGATGTCTTGTTCCTCTTCTGCTGCTTTTAAGATTCCCACTATTGGAGCTGGAAGAGATGGCTCAGTGATTAAGAGCACTGGCTGCTCTGGCAGAGGACTTGGGTTTGATTCCCAGCACCCACATGGTGGCTAAGAACCATCTGTAACTCCAGTTCCAGGGGATCTGATGCCCTCTTCTGACTT